CTCACGGGCCCAGCCGCTCCGCGGCATGTGGGATCTTCCCGGACCGGGGCACGAACCCGCGTCCCCTGCATCGGCAGGCGGACTCTCAACCACTGCGCCACCAGGGAAGCCCCGGCATCAACAGTTTTTAAAACAATTTCTTGGTATGTACTAAGATCTCCTTGTGGCTTTCATTTGGTTTTCTCTAATGGATAATGATGTTGAGCCCCTTTACTAACTTATTGACCTTTTAGGTTACTTATTTTTGTGAAATGATTGTTCAGATCTTCTATTTTTTAATGGGTTCGTCTGTCTTTTCCCTACAATTTCTGGGAATGTTTTATATTTTCTGGATATAAGTCTTTTATTAGGCACATGTATCATGAATATAGTCTACCAGTCTGTGTCTTGCCTGTTAAGTTTCTTATGGTGTCTTTATTTTATTTTGTTTTTAAAGTGAACATACAATAACATTGAGTTTTTTAAATTAAAAAAAAAATTACAGTGCTACGGGACTTGACACATGTAGGGTGTAACCACCATAATCTGGATTGGGAACAGTTGCATCACACCAGAACTCCCTGTGCTGCCCTTTTGTAGTCATATCCTTGCCCTGCTTGTAACCTCTGGGAACCACTCATCTATTCTTTGTGGCTATAGTTCTGCCTTTTCCAGAATGTTATATAAATAGAATCATATAATGGGTAGCCTTTTGGGTCTGGCTTCTTTCACTCAGTGTCACGCCTGGGAGATTCATCTGTGTTGCTGCAGGTACCACTGTTTTTTCACTGGTTGAAGAAAATTTGGGTTCTTTCCACTTTTTAACAATTATAATTAGTGCTGCTGTAAACATTTGTGTACAGGTTCTTATGTAAAGATACGTTTTCATTTTTCTAGATTAAATACATGCGAGAGGGTTGTTGGGTTATTTATTTATTTATTTATGGCTGCGCTGGGTCTTCGTTGTGACGTGCCGGCTTCTCTCTACTTGCAGGCTGTGGGCTTAGTTGCCCTGCCCTTTCCAGTTATCTTTTTCTTATTGATTTCTGAATTCCATTATGGTCATAGAACATATTTTATATGATTTTACTTCTTTTAAATTTATCAAAGTTTGTTTTATGACCTGGATATGGTCTCTTTTGATGAATGTTCTTCTGGAAAAATGTATCTGGTGAAATAGTCTAGAAATATCAATCAGGTTATTTGGTTAATGGTGTTTTTCAGTTCTGTATCCTTGCTAATTCTCTATTTGTTCTAGTGATTACTGAGAGAGGAGTGTTGAACTCTCTGTAATTGTGGATTTGTCCGTTTCTCCTTTCAGTGTTATCACTTTTTGCTGCAGGCATCTTGAAGCTCTGTTGTTAGGTGCATACACGTTTAGAATGGCTGTGTTATCATGGTGACCCTTTTTATCATTTGTAAGAACAGTGAAGGGTCTGAGGTTTTACCCTCCTTGCAAACTAACAAGCTATCCTGCCACAGTTTTATGGGTACTGACAGAAGACACAGGCTCCCAGGTCAATGTCACAGGACTTTATTGGCCACTAAAGCAGTAGCCACAGTTTCAGCATGTGCACTACTGCCTTGAGCCCCATTTCCCACTGGATGATGCAAAGGGGACCAGATGGCACCTGTACATGCAGTGGGTTGCATCACAGCAGAGGATCCCTGAGATTAGAGCACCCAAATCTCATAATGGGCAGCAGACTTTCCTGACCTTTGATCCAAAGGGAGACATCATCCTTATTCTACTAGAATGAAAACAAACCAGCCCCTTGCTAAGGAGGGAAGGGCCATTTCTATTTCCAGCGCTGCTGACTGTACAACATCCTTGAAAAGATACTCCAGATCCAAGACAGTCATTGCCTCTGCTCACAAGATGTTGACAATGTTAGAGCCTTTGGAGAATTGTCTTTCGACAAAATGTCCCTCTTTATCCCTGGTAATTTTTCTTGCTCTGAAGTCCACTTTGTGATATCAACCTAGCCACGCCAGCTTTCTCTTGGTTAGTATTTAAACAGTACATTTCCTTTCATCCTTTTATTATTTAAGACAGGGTGTGTGTCTGTGTTGTTTTGTTTTGTTTTATAGACAGCATATAGTTTGGTCTTGTTTTTAATCCACTTTGAAAATCTCTTATCTTTGTATTGATGTGTTTAGACCAGGGGCCAGCAAACTATGCCTGTGGGTCAAATCTTGCCAGTTGCCTGTTTTTGTAAATAAAGTTTTATTGAGACACAGCCATGTTCATTTGATTAAATCTTTTCTATGGTTGCTTTTCCCCTACAAAAGCAGAGCTGAGTAGTTATAACAGACTATATAGCTGAGAAGTCCTTAAATATTTACTATTTGGCACTTGATAGAAAAAGTTTGCTGACCTGTGGTTTTGATCATTTGCATTTAATTGTGTAGTTATTGATATGTCTGGATTTAGGTTGTTTTAACATTTTGTTATTTCTTTTCTGTTTGTTCTCTCTGTTTTTCTTTCCTTTATTTCCCCTTTCTGCCTTGTTTTAGATTATTTGAATATTTTTTAGTATTCCATTTTAATTTTCTATTGAGTTTTAAAATTATATCTCTTTGTATATGTTTTTAGTGATTGCTCTAGGGATTATAATGTACATACTTAATATTTCACAGTCTAATTAGAACTAATATTTTATCACTTTAAGTAGAATATAGAAATGTTATTACTATATAGATTACTCTCCCTCATTTATGTTGGAATATCTGTTTATTTAGTTCTTCTTTAATTTCTCTCCCAGAAATGTTTTACAGTTTTCAGCATAGAGATTGGGCACATTTTGTTGTTGTTGTTGTTAGAATTATTCTTAGGTATTTATATTTTCGATACTATTATAAATAGTGTTTAAATATTTTTCATTTTCAATTTTTTTGTTGTATATAGAAATATGATTGATTTTTGTATATTGACCTTATAGCCAGTGACTTTGATGAATTTATTTATCTATCTATCTATTTATTTATTTATTTTTGGCTGCATTGGGTCTTCGTCTCTGTTGCACTGGGCTTTCTCTAGTTGCAATGAGCGGGGGCTACTCTTCACTGTGGTGCGTGGGCTTCTTATTGTGGTGGCTTCTCTTGTTGTGGAGCATGGGCTCTAGGCATGTGGGCTTCAGTAGTTGTGGCATGTGGGCCTAGTTGCTCCACGTCATGTGGGATCTTCCCGGACCAGGGCTTGAACCTATGTCCCCTGCATTGGCAGGCAGATTCTCAACCACTGAGCCACCAGGGAAGCCCTAAGTTTATTTTTAATTCTAATAATTTGTTCATTTTCTTCTATATAATCCTGTCATCTACAAATAAATGTAGTTTTACTTGTTGCTGTCCAGTTTTTAAACCTTTTATTTCTTTTTCTGGCCTTGTTGCACTGTTTAGGACCTCCAGCACAATGTTGAATAGATGGGGTAATAGTGGATACTCATTCAAGGAACTTGGAAAGACAAGGGCGATTCCTCTTCACAGTGTTCTTTTAAATTCAGCACTGTTTTGTTTGGCATGGTCTGACATGGACCGTTGGAGAGACCGAGAGTAGCTTATTTATTTCCAAAGGCATCAATTTAGTCTTGTGTAGGTTCCAGGGAGACAAGAAGTAGATAGATGTCCCTAACCTACATATTCCTGTGTTCCAATTAGGTACAGACACTTCTTTGGTCAGACCACTAAAAAAGAAAAGAAAAAAGTGCTCTTTTCTCTGGTGCGGTGCAGACCTGCCCATGATTCAAGGCTTAGTGAGCTGAGCATGAGCTGGATTTCAGCTTCTCTGTCCCCTTGGCTGGGCCTCTGTACAGTGCACACATTTCTACATTGTTTGGAGAGGAAGTCAGGCCAGAAGACTGGAGAACACAGTCAACCTCCTGTGGGAAGGTGGGTCCCAGCTCATCAGCAGCAGCACTGAAAATAGATGGCCTGTCTTTTGATGATTCCCAGGGATTCTGACCCCAAATCACTGATCTGTATCTCTGACATGCAAGTGACATTACATACCTTACATTGCTTGTGAAATAATTTCAAATCCCAGTATTAGGAAAGAGGAGTGAGGGATTATCATCACTCATGTCTTGTCTTTCTTTGGTGTCCTCTTGCCTTCATACTGTTATCTCCCACCTGCCCCTTTCTCCCAGTTAGGTCATACATCCATCATCTTAGTCCGTGTGAGAAGAATTTGTATGTACAGGGTCAGCTGCGTTCACAGAAGGCCAAGGGGGCAGCAACCTGGGTTTGGAGGGTGAAATTTGAGAAGCTCTTACTCCCCTCTGCAGAAAGCCTGTCTACCCTCTTCTGCTCTAATCTGATACAATCCACCTGGGGGCATGCATACCTTCATCTGTTTTCATTTTGTTTTGTTGGCTTTTATTAATATTTGTTTGGGGTTTGTTGTTGTTGTTGTTAAGGGTGTTTAAGAACTTTCTATTATAAAATGTAAATGACCCTAGAAGGAAAAACGCATTAAGTCATTACCAGCTATTAGCACCATTCTGTGACTCCATTAAAACATTATTATGGGGACTTCCCTGGTGGTCCAGTGGTTAACAATCTGCCTTCCAATTCAGGGGCATGGGTTTGATCCCTGGTCGGGGAACTAAGATCCTGCATGCCACAGGGCAACTAAGCCCGCGCGTGCCACAATTACTGAGGCCGAGCACCACAACTAGAGAGAAGCCCGAGTGCCACAACGAAAGGTCCCGCATGCCACGACTAAGACCCGATGCAGCCATAAATTAAAAAAAAAAAATTATTGTGTACTTAGCTTTTTTTTTATTTAAAATATTTAATTTTATTTTTGGCTGCACTGGGTCTTTGTTGCTGCACACGGGCTTTCTCCAGTTGTGGCGGGCGGGGGCTACTCTGTTTTGTTGCAGTGAGCGGGCTTCTCCTTGTGGTGGCTTCTCTTGTTGTAGAGCATGAGCTTTAGGCACACGGGCTTCAGTAGTTGTAGCGTGTGGGCTCAGAAGTTGTGGCTCGCATGCTCAGTAGTTGTGGCTCGCGGGCTTAGTTGCTCTGTGGCATGTGGGGTCTTCCCGGACCAGGGATCAAACCCGTGTCCCCTGCATTGGCAGGCAGATTCCTATCCACTGCACCACCAGGGAAGTCCCCACTTAGCTTTCTAATGACCCAGCATAGTTAAGCCTTGTTAGTGAGAGCAAATGGAGAGGAATGAAGAACAAGGAGCACTGAAAGGGAAGTTTTCTTCATCTACAGATGAGGTTGTATATACTAAACTGTCTTTTCCAGCTCCAGCATCAAGGACTCTCAGCGCTATCTGCAGAATAGTGAGAGGAAAAATACGTGAGAATCTAAGAAGGGATGTAACCAAATGTGAGGTGACCTGGTACCGTTGGGGTCCACCCACCACACCTTGTGCTCAGGAAAGGGAGACATGCTTCTTGGGGCTCCTTCCCATCTGCAGTGCTCTCCTTCTCACTGGTCCCAGAGATCCACCCCCGACCCAGCCCCTTAGGAATTTTCCAGCCTTTGCCTCTATTTAAAGCCATGACAGAATGAGCCAGCATGGGGGAGCAGGGTTCATGTCGATGACAGTGCCTGTCATGAGAATTAAAGACCCTTCTCCATGCTTTGCAGCACCCCGACCAAGTGCAAGTCCTGCATCTTCACATCATTTTGTGGATTCTATCTTCTCTCGCACTAGGCTATGAGCCTCTCAAGAGTACATGCTGTCTCTCTTACCCATCTTTTAAAAACCTCTAGCTCTTTGTACGTGGTAAGTGCTCAACTGGTGTTCAGTGAATGAACGAATGGGAAGAGCTAGGGGATGTATCAGATTTCTCCAGGTTTATATGTCAGCACTGCCTTCGATTCTTTCCTCATTTGAACCCTTCACACCCAATGAGGCACTAAAGTCCAATGCTTCTTAATTCACAATGTCTGTTTTTGTGGCTGGCTCCCTAAGTGCTTTCTCTCCTGGGGAGTAGGCTACAGCCTAGCTTCCTTATCACCAGTTCTCCCTTCCTTATCCATCCTGCAGATACATCTTTCTAAAGTACAATTTCAACTTTTCACTGGGCTGCTCAGAATCATTTGTTTGACTCACTATCACTTTTAAGATAAAATACAAATTAATCAGCTCACTCTTTGATATCCTACCATCCATCTGTCCATCAATAAGTGTGTTTCAGTTTCTGCTCCAGCCTTTGGGGAGAAGGAGCTCCATCTAGAAGTCTCTGCTCCAGCCACATGAATTTCATCATTGTCCTGCCTTCAATCATTTACGCAAACTATCCCTACTGGTCCCAACTATAGATCTTCCTTGACTTACAATGGGGTTACACTCTGAGAAACCCATTGTAAATGGAAAATATCGTTAAGTCAAAAATGCATTTAATATAGCCGACCTAGTAAACACCATAGCTTAGCCTCACCCACCTTAAACATGCTCTGAACACTTACATTAGCCCACAGTTGGGCAAAATCATCTAACACAAAGCTTATCTTATATAAAGTGTTGAAATATCTCACGTGATTTATTGAATACTGTACTGAAAGTGAACACAATGCCTGTCTGGGTACAGAGTGGTTATAAGGTATTGGTTTGTTGACTGTTGTCACACACTCAGTAGAAATCGTACTTCAGATTTGGAATTTGGATCTTTTCCTGGACCAGGGAAATGCGGGACCATCGTCTCTCGTGATGCTGGGCAGTGACAGCGAGTGCTGAATGTGTTTCACTTTTGCAACATCATAAAGTGGAAAAATTGTAAGTCAAACCACTGTAAGTTGGGGACCGTCTGTACTTGCATCTTTCTGGTACTTGATGAGCCCACCTCCCCCAGAGAAGCCTCTTGGGGCAATACAGCCTGCCTCAAACTTTCTGTTCAGTGGCGTCTGGTCACCAAACTGAGTGTAGAATGGGGTCCAGTCAATGTTGACATGGCTTTACAACGTGCCAACAACCACGGACCATCCCAGGCAGGAACAGGGAACGTGGAGCAGTGCCTGGGGTGGGAGCTGGGGTGGGGTCAGGGCCTTAGAGTGGCAGACTTGGTGAAAGCTTTTATTCAAGGGCTGACGCAGGCTTCCTATTCTATCATTAAAACACCTGTGCAGCGGTTGATTGTTTTTGCAGAAATCTGCAACTAGAGCGTCTCTGCTTAGATTCTGATCTTAGATTCTGAGCCCCTTGAGAGCTCTGATCTCTCTCTAAGTGCTTTTAAATTCAGTATGAAAGAGACTACAGAACGTTTCCTGGGAACAAGTGTTGAAAGCGGGGAGGAGCATGGAAAGCCGAGGCCCTGGTGGCCTAAGGTAACCCACCCCCTCCTTTGCGGCTCTGTGCCTAGGGCCCACCTGTGTGTAGCGCTGGAGAGAAACCAGCCTGCTCTGCGCATACGTGCTCCTGGGCACACTTTCTTTCTGGGTTATGTCTTTAGTAATTTGTTATCAAGAAAAAAGACTCCCAACAAAGTCATGTTGCTTGCACAATCCTAAAGGTGATAAATTACCCAAGATGCTCATAGACAAGGGTGGGTCCACCTGAGGTCACGTAAAACCAGGGTGGATTGACCTAAGGTCAAAATTGAACAGGACCTGTTGCGAACTGTTGACTTCCCACCACGGCATGCAGTGTAAGTATCATGAAGCAGGAACAAACAGCTTCCTTTTCTTATTGCAAAAATAATACACAATTGTAAAAAACAAAAATTGAGAAAATACAGACAAGCGAAAATTTTAAAAATCATCCATAATTCTATTATATTTTAGCTACATCTTTTAAGTCTTTTTTGCTCCTTCCTTCCCTCTCTGCTTTCCTCCCTTCCTCCCTCCCTCCTTTCCTTCCTCCCTTCCTTCTTTCCTTCCTTCCTTCCTTCCTTCCTTCCTTCCTTCGTTCCTTCCTTCCTTCCTCCCTCTCTCTTTCCCTCCTTCCTTTATACCTTTGCAATGGGAGGCATTTAACCACTTTCTCTGCTTAGGAATTTCATGAACTAGATATTTTCAGTGTCTGTGCTCCCCACCGCTCACCTTCATCCCCCTCCTCTCCTGGGGCATATTCTCCTCTCATCTTTTCATACCCTAGGACAGTTTAAGATGGGGTTGTCCTCATGGGTAGGATCAGAGACTAAACCGAGCCTCGGTGTGAGGCTAACGCCCCTGGGTGTTAACTCTGCTGCTGCTCGGACTACCGCTCCCTCACACCTCTCTCCAGACGTTGAACAGGTGACCGACCATACTGGATGCTCTAATATGATGGTAGCGGTGTTTAGGGGCAGGGCATGGGACAATCAGCAGAAAGATTTTTACTTTTCTTAAATTGAGGTTTATCATACAAACAATAAAGTGCCTGAAGACACTCATCTTAAGTGCACAACTCAAACAAGTTTTACTTTTGTGGACACCTACATGCTGACATCCCAGCTCAAGACAGAAAATATTTCCAGCACCCTGGAAGTTTCCCTTATGTTCCTTCCCAGTCAATATCCATTCTCCCTGCACCCCTGCCTCCCACACATGAAGGTAAACACCATTTTGATTTCTTTTAATGTGCACTTTTTATATCTGGCTCCTTTTGTTCAAAATGATGTCTGGGAGGGACTTCCCTGATGGCGCAGTGGTTAAGAATCTGCCTGCCAATGCAGGGGACACGGGTTCGAGCCCTGGTACAGGAAGATCCCACATGTCACGGAGCCACTAAGCCGGTGCATCACAACTACTGAGCCTGCGCTCTAGAGCCCGTGAGCCACAACTACTGAGCCCGTGTGCCACAACTACTGAAGCCTGCGCACTTAGAGCCCGTGCTCCCCAACAAGAGAAGCCACCGCAATGAGAAGCCCGTGCACCGGCACGAAGAACAGCCCCCGCTCGCCGCAACTAGAGAAAGCCCGTGCACAGCAACGAAGACCCAACACAGCCAAACATAAATAAATATTTAAAATGTGTTAAAAAAAAATGATGTCTGTGAGATTCATCCATATTATTAGTTAATATTTTGAAAACATTATTTTATCAACTTCTTATTTTACCAAAAATGGAACCCTCTTGTGCCCATTGTTTACAACGGCTATTTTCATTTAATATATTGGCAAGAGTTTCCCGTTATTAGCATTCTTCTACTATCGATTTTTTAAATCTGGATAGTGTTCTATATTACGTACATGCCATAATTTATTTGACCAGCCCTCAATTGTTCAACATGACATAATTTCCTCTTAAATAAGTTAGACTACAATTCATTGAACATTCTTGCAATTAAATCTTTGTGCACATCCTAATTATTCCTTTAGGATGAACTCTCAGAAGTAGAATCACTAGGTCCGAGGTCATACACATTTTTAAAACTTTCTCGTCCAGAAAGATTGTACTAATTCTATATTAGCAGCAGCAGTGAATGATGGTATGATATCTCTGCTTCCTCAAGTCTCTACCATGACTGGGCATTATAATTTGAATATTTGCCAATGTGATAGGTGAAATGTCTCTTTAGAAAATAATAGGAAAATTTTAAAAAATGTATCTTGCTTTAATTTGCATTTCTTCAATTACAAATATGGCTGATTCCTTTTTTATATATTTAATCACTTCTATCTTTAGGCTTCTGGTGTTTGTGTCAGGCCGGGTTCAGCTGGAGATAACAAATAGCACTCTTCCTGTTTTAAGGAGGAAGAGCTTTGACAAAGGGAATCCGCTTCTGCCAGGGTCGCTGGAAGAGCTGAAGGGGCAGGACCCTCGTGGGGCTTCCAAGAATGGCTCTGAGAACAGCGCCCCGGAAGCGGCGCCTCTGGTGAGCTGCTGCTTTTGCCCCAGTCAGCTTCACTCTAGATGTGGGGCAGCTGCTGCCACAGTGGTTGAACCTGAGCCCTGCTTGGTCTGCTAGAACTTTACCAGCAAAAACTAATGCCCTGTGCCCTGCTCCCAAGACACACAACGCTATGAACTAAACTGGAACCTCTGCTAATTCTACCACCAGAACAAACAGACAAACCACAACCAAGTGAAAACAACCTAAATACAAAATACCTAGAAATGTTAGGTTAAATGTAACAAATATCCTTTTCAAAACCTATCTGAGGTCAGAAAAAGATCAAGGAAATTTCCAGGGGTCACAAATGGAAAGGGAGCTGGAAATGGGAGTTGTAAGCAAATGCTGAAGCTACTGCCATGGGGCGAGTATTTGCCAATCTGGTAACCTAGATGCTTGGATTGGCCCCGTGAGCTTGGTAAACAATGTCTTGGGGGCCCATGCAAGTAGGGAGACAAAAAAGAGAACTCCACATAGTTCCAAGACCCTCAAAGGGCTACGTCCTCTGGGAAAGGGCTGAATAGAAGAAAAAAAAAATCTGACTTTTAGCAAAGAGAAATAATAAGGAAATTTGTCTTTGCTGTTGCTCTGAGTGGGGGGAAAAAATAGCTTCCAAGACCTTGTAACCACACATCTCCACTTGTCTGGGTTTGGAGTTTGAGGTTTGAATCAACACTGAGTTTTTTATAGTGGAAAACTGGAAACAAAGGAAATGTCATCATCGGGAGAATGGATAAAGAAATTATCTATTCATTAAATAGCAATGAAAATGAATGAGCTAGTGCTATGGTGGTCGACGTGGAGAGATCTCACAGTATTGAGTGGCAAACGTGAGTTGCGGAAGTGGACATACAGTAAACCAGTGCCAGTCTTAGACTGGGGCAAGTTGGGTCCCTGTCCCGGGTCCTCCTGTCTAGGTGTCCCTGCACTTTGGAGGGACTCCTCCACCCCGCCTCTCCGGTGCCTGGGCCCAGATCTCTGGGCAGGGCGTTCTGAGCTGAGGCAGAGACCATGGACTTGCCCTCTCCCACAACCTGCTGCACAGCATGTAAGGTTGACCAGAAGCCCGGAGGTGCTCTGGACTGTGCCTCCTTGGGACTGAGGGCAGATGGCCCCTGCTGGCTGAACTTCATAGAGCAAGACTGGGCTGCCAGCAGGGTGCTGACACACAGTTTTGGGCAACTCAAGGACCCTGCAAAAAATATTTGCCCAGGACCCTGCACATCTTGGGGCAGCCCTGCAGTAACGCATTCAGATGGGGCTTTAAAATGTACAAAATAATACCTAACTAGTGTTTAGTATTATATACACGCTTAGTAAAAGAACATGGAAATGAGGACGCTCAATTCAATACAGGAATTGCTTCTTGAAGGGAGAGAGGAGAATTAGGGTTACACTGGGAACTATTTGAAATGTTTTATTTCTTAAAAGTTGGTGGTGGGGAGTAAAAGGTATTGATTGTATGCCTTTTTACATCTTTCCATATGTTTGAAATATTTCATTAAAAAAAAAAAGGAAGAAAGAAAGAAAAGAAAAGAAGTCACTTGAGCCCCTCCCTGCTCTGGTAGGGGCTGGCGGGTGTGTGGGTGGACTTCAGTGGTGGCAGCCACACTCTTGGAGGGGTCGTGCATCCTAGTCTCTACCTTTTCCCCTGAGAAGACCCCCCTCCTCTGCACTTTCCCTCTGTCTTAGCGGTTTAGTGTATAAACAGATTCTTGTGTGACTCACCAGTGCTTTTGCTAATCCCTTCACCAGCAAATACTTGTTAAACACTTAAATCTTGCAAATGGAAAGGAAATTCCACAGTAAAGTTAAGTGTAAAAGTCATCCAGAATCCTGCATCTTGGACAAGACTGGTGAACAAATAGTTCTATAATGAAACTTAATATATTAAATTTAATCATAGGAAACTTATTGCTTGGATATGAATCTTAAATATTTAAATGTAGGAGTTTTCACTTGGTGATTGTTTCCAGTCTCCTGTGATACTGATACGTGGACAGGGAAGAAACCTCTTAAGATAAATAAACCACACTGGGAAATGGGCCCCTTGCTAAGTTCCCTTCTGGAAGTGACGCCTCCCTATACTGCAAACATTTTCTCCTCTGTGTGGTTTCAGTTCCAAGCCAAACCAGTTCTGCAGCATGCTTTTGTACCTTTCCAGAATCGCTTGCCAGGGCTTTAAAACCCCTTTGCGTCTTTCATTACTTAAAAGCCTCTTTTGAAAGCCTTTGAGTGAATCATCAAATTAACATCTAAAAAGACTCAGCAGCAATTGAGCCCAGGAAGGCTGGGGGCTTCTAACCAAACACACCATAACAGACCTTCCTAAGAGCAGTTGGACTTGGGAAGGGGCTTTGCAGGTGGAAAAAGGGCAGCTGCTGGGAGGTGGAAGCACCCAGGCAGGGGGCAGTAGGACCCCTGGCCTGAGCCCCTAACTCCCGACTCCCTCCCCCTGCCAGTCCCCTGCCTTCCCCCATGTTCTCACGACTGCTGATCAGAGGGCAACCCTCCCTCTCCTTTGTGTTTAAGCCTTTCTCTGGCTCTGCTCTAAGCAGGCATCAGCAAAGGTTTAACAAAAGAATGAGGGCTTATTTTAGCTACTTTCACTTCTCTAAATTTTTCATGGTTTCAGTTAGGTGTAAAATATTCTTCAATTTATATTTTCGATTCTGTTTCTTACTTGTTCTATACAATGTTAGTAGGTAGATATTTTCTTTTTAATGGAAAAGAAGAGATTGATCTTAGGATTCAAACTCAAAATATTTGATGAATCAGGATTCAGTTTAGATTTCAAGAACACTGCTGTGAGGTTTTCTACTTTTTTGGTTTGCCCTAGATTTTTCTTTATCTCTTTTGTCTCCTATATCTTTCCCGCTCTGTGGACCTCTTTGAGAAGAGGGCTATGAGGACTGAAGAAAGGCATTTATCATTAGCCTCATTTCTGATCATTGAGTTTCTTGCGTACTCAACCCTAAAGAAAAATCTGAGCGTACCGCTACCTTTAGAAATTCAGGTAACCCGGTGGGAGGGAGAAGAGTAAATCATGTTTCTCCTTTCCCTAACCTTCTTATGTATCATGGTTTCTAATGCGCATGCCAAAAATTGTAGCTTGCAATTTAGAAGTGGAGGCGTTGGAGAGGGAGGGGCGCGTCTCTCTTGGAGGCTCTAGCAGGTAGATAGCTGTCTCTCTGTGTGCATTTTTTTTTTTTTTTAATTTTTGGCTGTGTTGGGTCTTTGTTGTTGCGCGGGCTTTCTCTAGTTGTGGCGAGTGGGGGCTACTCTTCGTTGTGGTGCGTGAGCTTCTCATTGCGGTGGTTTCTCTTGTTGCGGAGCATGGACTCTAGGCGTGCAGGCTTCAGTAGTTGTGGCACACAGGCTCAGTAGTTGTGGCTCGCGGGCTCTAGAGCACAGGCTCAGTAGTTGTGGCGCACGGGCTTAGTTGCTCCGCGGCACATGGGATCTTCCCGGACCAGGGCTCGAACCCGTGTCCCCTGCATTGGCAGGCAGATTCTTAACCACTGAGCACCAGGGAAGTCCTCTGTGTGTGCATTTTGTCAAGAATGGCTGCTTTCTAAAGACAAACACACTTCAGGTCAAGCGGCTTGGAGACTGGACTTGGAAATATGAGAGACGTTTCAAAGGTAAAAATGCACTGCTTACATGGTGTGCTGAGTGTCTTCACTGGACAGATGGGAGTCTTAGAAGCAATATGGAGCGCTGATTCCTGCGGTTGAATGTGCCAAGGCAGTGGGATGAGCTCCCTTTCTGGGTGTACATCTGGTGGCCTGGGGCCCAGGAAAGAGGGTCTGCTCCTATCTTAAGTCATCCTTGAGACTCAGATACATTAGAAATCTCACTCTAGAACTGTGTCGTTCTGATTCAGGGAGTGAGATGGATGTTGGGAGGTTGCCCAACAAGAAGTCTACTTGTATATGCATTCTAGTATTTTTCTGTGACGTGTGATACAGCCTCCTACCTTCAATTGTTGTGTGGTGACACAGCACCTGGGAGGGGTGTGTGCCCTCAGTGGACAGTGGTGGGGCTGAGCTCCTGGCCGCTATCACTTCCAGGTCAGCTCTCTTGTTTCCGCTGTTGGGATACACGGTTAACGCCACCGGTCACTTAGTGCCGCCTTTCACCAGCCGCAATCCCTGCTGTTTTGGGGATTTGCCCCAAGGAAATTTTAGTCACAGCTCCTTGAACTGCGGGAGGAAAGGCTGGCATTTTACAGACACTGCCAGCCGGTGACAGGCCTTCTGGGCTTTGGGAGGGCGGGGGCTGTCTCCGAGGAGAGGAGGCAGGACAAGGGCTCTCCCGGGCCGCACTCTAGTCAGGCTCCTCTGAGCGCCTTTTCAAGGAGGCCCGGGCTCTGGGGAGCCTTACATCAGCCCCACCAGAACCCCACCCTCAATATCTGACCACCCCTGAAGTCTGACCAAGTTCCTCATCCCTCGACCCCAGGTGATGGATATCCGATCAGCCTGGCCCGCCTTCAGCAGGAGTCCTGGTAGCTTGTTTTAGCCAGAAATCCCCTGTCACCCTTGATGATTCCTCTTAGTAATTTTCCATCTATTTGCCCTCATCCTGCCCTTTGACTCTAAATGACCACTTTTCTTTGTATCCGGAGTTGAGCCCAGTCTCTCCCCTGCTACAAAACCCCTTTGCAGTGGGCCCTGTACAGATCACAACAGTCCTAAGTCTGCCTCACCATTTTAACAAGTATCGGAAGGGTTTCTTTCTCTAACACGTGGATGAATTGGTGGCTGCGTGCCAAGTGCGACTGGGAAGTTGCTGGTGGTTAGCTCCTCCTGTGCTTTGCCATCAAAGGAATCATATTTGTACGTATATAACAGGATAAGCTATTGAAACATTATGTTTTGTCTTGTTCTTTGGGAAATCTGAAAGAATTCCTTTTCCTATCCCTAGAAATGCAGCCACATATCTGTGTCCTAAGGCCTAGATCAAGTATTGCCAAACCTGATTCTCACAAGTAGGTAATGTAAGTTTGTGAAGTGGCCTTATGGCAACAATAGGGCATAGTGGAGACTGTGGCAAAGCAGAGAACACAGTCCCATGAAAAGCCATTAGCTCCAATCAGTTAACGGCACGTGGGCACGTAGGCCTGATATTTCCAGAGCACTTGAGTTTTCAATAAACAATAGGAAGCTGGGTTTTTATGTGCAAATTCTAGATTTGTGTGGGTGTGTGTTGGCAAGTAACAAAAGCAAACAGAGTGTGGGGCAAAACAACTCAGAATTTTGCCTTCAGGCGTCTGGTTTGTAATATCTGGGCTAGAGTCCGATTACCCCTTTGGTTGGGGGAAGGCAGTTATGAGGCTGAAATCGTCCTACACCTTCTCTACCACCAGTGAAGGGGAAGGAGGCTGCTGCGTGGACAGGAAGAGAGGAGTGTGACACCCTGGAGGGAGGGTGGACGGCTTGAGTTTGGGCCTGTGGGGTTCCCCCCTGGGGGCAGAACTGTGCCTTGTGTTCCCACAATGTTTTGGATGGGTCACCTGAGCCGTGTGCCCTCCGGGAGTAGCCAGCCCGACCTGGAAGCCTTGGCTTGGGTCTTCACGCTGACGCTCAGCCAGGAAGAAGGGGACAACCTACCGACATGAGGGCCACGTGGACACGGGCGGGAGCCCCTGGTCCGCAGGCCCTTCCTCAGTCCCCTGCTCCTGCTTGAGCCCAGGGCCACGTAGAACGGGGAATTCGCAAAGCCCCATCAGGCTGGATTTTCTGCCAGGTTGGTGCCTCAGGGCCAAGACATATTTAATTGATTTAGAAAACAGAGATACAAATACATGCTGGGTATCTTTTTGTTTGTTTGTTTTGTGGATTTTTTGGGGGGGCTTCCTTTTTTAAAAATTGAAGTGTGGTTGATTTTCGATGTTTCAGGTATAGAGCAAAGTGATTCAGATCTATATCTAGATGTGTATATACATATACATGTCCTTTTTCAGATGCTTTTCCATTATATGTTATTACAAGATATTGAATGTAGTTCCCTGTGTTCTGCAGTAAGTCCTTGTTGCTGCTTATCTATTGTATACATAGTGGTGTGTATCTGTTAACCCCAAATTCCCGATTTATCCATCCACCCCTTTCCTCTGGTAACCATAAGTTTGTTTTCTATGTCTCTACTTCTGTTTTGTAAATAAGTTCAATTGTATCACTTTTCTAGACTCCACATATAAGGGATGTCGTATGGTATTTGTCCTTCTCTGTCTGGCTTACTTCACTTAGCATGATCATCTCTTGGTCCATCCAGGTTGCTGCATGCCGGGTAGTTTTACACGCCAGTATGAGTGCATTGATATCTCTTGTTTGGGACCCAGTTTGGAAGCCCAAGAGTCTGGGCTTTACTATGCAAAGGATTTCTCCTCCTCTTAAAGTACCTGTAGTTATAAGTTCTAGGGATTTGAGCCGCATATCACTTTCCCCACTCGAGGCAGGATTGAGGACACGGCGCGGGCGCTTGACTTCCCTGTCCGGACACGATGCTGACTTACTCGTCCTCCACCATCTGGGCCACCAAATTTTCATTGCTCGGTTATTTATTTTATTACTTCCTCTTCCCATGACCGGGTGTCCCCTTATGAATTTCGGATGTTTAAAACGGAATTTAGTGATGTTTTCAAGCCACCTTTTTTGTTGTTTGCAATTGAAAACTTGGGAAGCAGAGGTTGTTTTGTTATAAGGTTTTTATTCTTCTTCACTTCCTCTGTACACTTGGAACTTTTCATGACAGAAATGAGTTTGCTGTAACCTGTGTTAAGTAGTAAATGCCAAACACACGATTCTCCACAAAGGCTGTTTATGTGGAGAATAAACGAGGCCCAGAACACTGTGTCCCGCTGGTGAAACGAAATGCACATTTCCCATCAGGAGACAGATCCCTCATTTTCAAAGGCTAAGTGGATGGTGCTTGAATGATAATTCCAGCTGTTTGAATTTAGGGCCCTGGAAAGTTTCACTGGAAGGGAATTTGCAGGCGTTGCCTCTTAGCGGTTGGGTTTGCTCTCCTCAGAGGTAGCAATTAAACGAGGGCCAAGAATGCCCTACTTTTCTTGAATTCTGTGTTTCAGAGGTTACCTTCAAGTCCTTATGTTTGCTAACGCATGTGAGTAACTGACTGCGCCAGGGATGTAACAGTACATTAAACTGTGCCCTCGGCACTTCTGTTCGGCCTTCCTTTCTTGATCACCCCATTCCAGCCTGGACCTTTCAGCTCGATTTTTAACTTATTTGACATAAAATATTGTCAGTAAGTCTCATGGAAAATTCCACTCCAGCAGGAAAAACCATCTCCAATATGGGGTGGTTAGCTATTAATTAAAGCTGGCACGTGCCCTCAGAGCGCTTTCTTCAGTAATGCTTGTGACAGATCAAGGTTGGCATCGCATACCTACCCAGCAGAGGCCGCTTCTCCAGGCATGCTCACTTACCTTTGGGAAGAAACTGGCCTCTTTCTCAAAGTCAGTATTGGGTGTCGTCCCAGTGAATCGCTTCTTTCTCCTTCATGTTTCTTTTTTATAGGGTGTTACCTCTTAGCAGTCCAAGCATGGGGCTGGCTGTTGAATGCAGAGGTGATGGACTCATGTACCAAGTCCCTTGTACGGACCACAGGGGTGACCCTAGGACTCTAGGCAGGGACGTGGCAGCCACATGCCTCAACAAGATGCCACCTGGGGCTCTGACCGTGTGAGTGGGGAACAGGACGGAGGTGTGACATGACATAGGGAGTTAGGGCAGACAGCCCCTCCCCAAAGAAAGGCCTTCGGTTTTGAAATCCCTCATCAGAAACGGATTCCTTTGGCTTCGCTTCCTCTCTTTGGCAGTTTTGTGAGTTTAAAAAAAGTTTGTTTCTTTCTTCAAAAGTGATACGTATTCATTAACAATTCATTAAGTGCTACGTATTCTATTATTAATTATTATTATTTATTTATTTTTTGCGGTACGCGGCCCTCTCATGGCTGTGGCCTCTCCCGCCGCGGAGCACAGGCTCCGGACGCGCAGGCTCAGCGGCCATGGCTCACGGGCCCAGCCGCTCCGCGGCATGTGGGATCTTCCCGGACCGGGGCACGAACCCGTGTCCCCTGCATCGGCAGGCGGACTCTCAACCACTGCGCCACCAGGGAAGCCCTATTAATTTTTTAAATTTAAACCACTAAAATAATGAATAAAGTACTACATACATATGGTTACTACTTATACTTGAGGTAAAAAAGCTATATAGGGAGAGTTTTATTTCATTTTTTAAA